CGCACGGCGGCAGGTCAGCAGTGATAATCTTGGATTGCCTCCATTGGCATGATAGACAGTTTGTAGAATGAGACATTCGAGGCCGTCGAGCGTGCCCAGGAGCACGTTGTTCTCGCACACCACAGAGATGGCCGTCTCCGCAAGCTTGTCCACGAGACGATAGGTTTCTTCGGACGCATCCTCTCCGGCGTGGGTCGGAATGCGCTGAAGCATTGTACCCAACATGAGCATCTTTTTGGCCAGTAGAGTGGGATGCATTGGTGTTCTGAGAGATTCCAAGTAGCGCTCGACAGACTCTGGCTTCAGCTGCTCCAATAGGCAGTGGGGCGTGAACATGAGCTGAAAGACAATGTCAGCTTCGGAGTAGAGCTTGTAAATGACCCTGCAATCTTCTATAGCGGGTATCGCGGCGGCAAGCTGTCTTGTGTAGGCAGCTAGTTTTGCGTTTACTGCTGGACGGATAGTTGCCGTGGTCTCATAATGAGAGGGGGCATTCGGACGTGATGAGTCTTCGTTAGGTTGTGCATCATTGCTTTCACATTGTGATTGAATCTTGATCAATGGAAAGACCTTCGTCAGTGAGAATCCTTTTGAATATTGGACCCGATCCTACCGTTGATGAGTCTGCGTTCTGAGTTGATGAAGGGCTGCGGACAGCCTCAGAGCACGCTTCTCTAGTTGGGCCTATGGTGGCTGATTCTTCTGCTCCGGGGCTACAGCCTTCTGCTACCTTCTCCTGAGGCGAAGTGGGAAAAGGGACATCAAGATCGTCCACCCGGTGGTACAGTTGCTCGACCAGTCGCTCAACCCGGTTCAGCCGGTCCCCGAGACTGCCCACCGGGGCCGGAGCCGTCTGGGCATCCTCTTCGGGGAACTCCTGACTAACACACGGTGTCCCCTTCTGCCAGCACGTTTTACATGTGTCTCGAGGTCCCTTATCGTCAAAGATGCAGCGGATCTTGCGTCGGCGACACTCCCAGCAGCTCTTGGTGCCCCTGCGGACGAAGCGGCGCTTAGCAGCTGCAGCTCGCCGTTCCGAGGCAGCGGTGCGGACTGTGATGGTACCTCGCTCTGTGCCTGCCATTATGTGAGTACGAGGCGCGGAGACATTGATGCTGTGTACGACTTGTGTACTCTTCGGACGGACGAGATTGGGAGTCAGTGGTGTTGGAGGTGGGAGTATGAGCTGAGTGCACGTCCAGTTCGTCCGCCGAGTTTCGGACGCCGGTCTTGGTTTGGTGGGGCGGGGACACTCGGCGAAGATGAGACGGCGTTGTCAAGTCAGAACCTTACCTTGCACCCTTTTCCGGATCCGGCATTTTGTTTTCTTTGCAAGTGTGGGAGAGGTTGATTCATTGATTGCTCGGCATTGTGTCTAAGCTCTTTTTCATTTCTCTCGAATTGTTGAAGATTCTGAACGGAAACTGTACAATCTATGTGCAGTGAAGTGGTCCAAGGCATGAAAATCTTGCCATGAGCATAAGCAACTTAGTGAAGGAGAAGCGGTCTAGAATCGAAAGAAAAGTCAAGCCCAGCCAACAGCGTTGATTAGAACATCTCAAACAACACTGGCAATCCATCCTTCCATGCTTAGTAGGGCAGCTGGCCGATGCTGGAAGAGAACAGTTAGACTTGTGAAGTTGATGAGTGCGAGATGAGATACTTACTAGTTTCCAGGAGGCAAGTAACGTCCGACCACGAATGTGGTACCCTTGGAGTCGGTGGCCATGGCCAAGCCGACCTTCTGGGTGTTCTTCCAAATGGCTTGAGCTATCAACTTGTTAGTTGCAACGTTCCTCTCAATCAAGGCCCAAAGTACTCACTGTAGTGACCATAGTTCAAGTAGTTGGGCGACCCAGTGGTGCGGATGGGCTGTCCATCATACAGCGGCTTCTCATCCAACCACAGCTGAACACCGTTGGTGAAATAGGTGGTGGTGCCGCCCGACTGCGAAGCCAAGTTCTCTCCCTGGCCGCCGGGGTTCGAGTCGTGAACCAGGCTGCCGACAGTCGTCAAGTGGTTGGCCCAGACCTGAGCGCTCGCGGCCAAGTCGTCATCCCAGGTCAAGTTGGCGTTGCCAACGGCAGCGCGGTAGATGTTGTGGAGTTCGAGGGCTCTCTGCAGGTCGGCGCTCAGGGTCGAGTTGGAGGAGGCAGTTGGGGTGGCAGTCGCCGAGGATGAGGTCGATGACGAGGTCACCGACGGCTGCGCGTAGACCGTGGGAAAGGTCGTCGTGGGGGCGGCGAGAGTGATCGTGTAGGTCGGGGTTCCGGCTGCTGCGTAGTACTTTGGCACCTTGACGATGCCCCTCGCCGCGGCTTGCGTGGCCATCAGCCCCAAGGCGAAGGTTGCGCTGGCTGAGAAGTGCATGGTGGTGGCTTGAGATGTGGGAATTGGGGGCTTCGGATATGTCGAAATCACCGGGATCTTTCTGGTCGAAGTAAAGTCGTCGTAAGGAGTGACTGACTGAATGGAAGGATGGTTCCTGCCACTGAGCTGAAGACTGAAGTTGATGATGCCCGGGAAAATAGGAGTGTTGAGAAGCTGAAGAAGAGCAGAAAAGGATGCAATCAAGGAGAGTGTTCCAAGTAGTAACTTGAAGATGGGAGAGTAAGAAGGAAACCCGTTCAGACCAGGGTTTTGAGGATGTAGATATATCTCATTCCATTCTCATTCTTCAGGAGTCTCCCTCAGAAGTCGGTACCATGGGGATTGCACTGTTACAGTCGAGTCCCGGTAGGTTTACCGCATTCAGCAACACGGGGCTTTGGGGTGAAAACTCCTCAGTTTCTTTGAAGCGCAAGCCACATCCTCCGGTTCATTTAACTTCAAGACACCATGTCTCAGTCTGAAAGAGAACTTACGAGTCCCCCTAAACCAGATTCTATCGTCTCCCGCTGGCTAGCCAGACTAGGAGCCGCTGTCACCGATCGCTTTTGGTAAACGGTCGGGTACTCTGATCGGATTCGAGTAAAGGGTCCAGACCATATCGGTGTCTAGATCTACCCAAGACGTATGAGGGGTTTACTGCAAGAGGCTGAAGGAGACGACGACGACGACGCTTTCATGCAAACTTTTTCGTGAGGCTCCACGGGACGACGGTCGAGTTGAGAGAAGGCTGAGAGAAAGAGGAAGAAAGAGGAAAACACGCTGCCACTCCCGCTGCCCAGCCGCCAACACCCTTCGTTTTGCCCGTCTGCCCCTGATCGCCCAAAACATCTGCATTCCAGATCATCTTGAGCCCCTCGTCAGTGGCTGGATCACCACCTTCCGTGTCAAAGGTTGCTTGGTTGATGTGCTGAAGCTGGCAAAGCAGGCCCTCGTCGAATGTGAATGATCAGCACTCGCACAGCATGTCTCTGATATCATTGGCATGTCAGGGGCGCGGACATGTAAACTCTTCTTTACCTGTCGTGCAATGGCAGCAATGCTCGCTTGGCGATAAACTTTTAAGAATGAATAACCTTATCTTTCATTAACAACTCTTCTCGGCTTTCGCTGCGATGGGCTTGGATGGCTGTCCCCGTCCAGAATCAGCAGCCTTTTCAAGCCGCATACATACGCGTTCCACCACGGCTGGGCAGGTCTGCCTCCTGCGTTTGGTTCGCGGCTCCGCGCTGTTACGACGACTTGGCTGTCTACAGCAAGCTTAGGTCCTATACAGCATTTAGCCTTTGAAAGACTCCGTGGCTCCGGGATGTGGGAGAGGCCACATCCGTCAGCAACGACGTCGGTATAGTCCGTCTTTGCAGACCGTGGGTGCTGCAGACAGCCAAGCCGTCGTGAGACGCGAAACTCAACGCTGCAAATGTAAAATCTAGGCCACCGGGGACTCGAGGGAGCGGGGGAGCTGAGCTTTCCATTTTCCCGGATTTTCCTCAGCTGTACCTTTCCTAACTTCTTCCATGTTTGGATCGTCCCACGTGGGTGCGCGCTGGAATGCTGGCGGGGCCATGGGGGAATTTCAAGCGCGCGCCGAACTCTCTTCGTCCGCCGAGAGCGAGGAGCAGTGAGCACGGACTGGACGGGGGAAGGGGAGGGGGCATTCGGACTCTCTGATCCGGCTCGTCCGGCCAAGCGGCGGCGGCGGCACCGGTCGGTCGATGGGGTGTGGTGGTGTGACACGCGCAGGCAGACACCTAGCAACCGTGAATCAACATGGCGACGGACAACAACCGGCTTGTTTCGAGGGAGTACAGGCAGCTGTATATCCCAAAGAGTCATTGGTCGGGCGGTTGGAACGGCGTCACGGCGTTAGGCAACGCTCTTCAACAAGAAGTACGAGTTTGGTGACACCACACCTTTTGGGTCTTGATGATGCGCCTATCGCCGAACATGGAGACATGGAGACTCTTTGGGGATTTTGAACACATCCACAAGACTTCTGAGTGGCACAGAGCAACATTTGCCAATCGTTTCTACGGGTCATGGGCCCAACATGGTCTAGCTTGCGTCTCTTCCCGGGTGATACCTCCGCTCGAATCGTTGGTTGGGCAGCCAAAGTTCTTTTTTGTCTTTATTTTAGTTTTATTTCTTGATTTTTCTCTCTTTTTCCCACACAGATTCCCCCCGAAAAGTGCCCCAAAAAGCTCTGACCGCTCACCGTCTGTTCTGTCTTCCCACATCAAAGTGTGACAGCCCGGGAAGTCCATGTCTCTGCCGTGCCAGAGAAACACATCATAAACCAGGCAGCTATCAAACTCCAAAAAGGCAGCAGTTTAACAAGATGCATGTACCAACATGTGGGGGAAGTCTTTCGAGTCCAGACCGAGTGGCCACGGCCGGGCCTATCCGGGGCGAACAAGCGCACAGCGCAAGCGAGACGAGCGTGCGATACGGACAGGATAGGGGTTTGTTGTGAAATAAGGAATCCCGCTATAAGATGACCACCTGTCGTGATTTCAACAATTCGATAGCGGGGTAAAAATCTGCGTCCTGCGTCTTGCGTCCTTCAACCATCGTAATATACCACAACCCCGTCTTATCCTCGAACCAGCATCATGCGTGAAATTGTGAGTTGCGCGCACATGTTCGAGTACCTTACTTTGTAAAGTCCCTCTTGACAAACTAACGCTTCTGTGATCCACTCTAGATTCACCTCCAAACCGGCCAATGTGTACGTCTCCCCATGCCCCTGTCCAGCGCTCAACGCGTCACAACGCGCCTTTACTGATGATAAGTCTTTGTAGGGCAACCAAGTCGGAACGGCTTTCTGGTATGAATGTGCCAATCTCGACATTGAGATCAATGTGAAGAGGACTTAATTGAACGTGTGGTTAATGTTCGCGACAACAGGCAAACCATTCACCCTGAGCATGGCTTGGATCAGGATGGACAGTGAGTTTTCCAGCTGCTCAGTCACCATGACGCAAATCTATGAGCATAGTATGCTGACTTTTCTATAGGTTCACTGGAACTGATGAGCAACAATCCGAGCGATTGAACGTCTACTTCACCGAGGTACTACCTTCATCTCACACGCGCCTCGTGATCTCATATGCGCCTCACCCCCTCTCATGATGTCTCTCAAAATTCTAACCGCAAACTCATGCAACGTAGGCCGGTAGACAAAAGTATGTCCCCCGCGCTGTCCTGGTCGATCTCGAGCCCGCCACGATGGAGGCAATCCGCTCCGGCCCGCTGGGCAACCTCTTCCGCCCGGACAACATGGTCAACGGCCAATCCGGCGCCGGTAACAACTGGGCAAAGGGCCACTACACCGAGGGCGCCGAGCTCGTCGACTCCGTCCTAGACGTCGTGCGCCGCGAGGCCGAGGCCTGCGACAGCCTTCAGGGTTTCCAAATCACCCACTCGCTCGGTGGCGGCACGGGATCCGGTATGGGCACTCTGCTCATTGCAAAGGTCCGCGAAGAATTCCCCGATCGTATGATGGCCACCTTCTCCGTCCTCCCGTCCGCCAAGGTCTCCGAGGTCGTCGTCGAGCCGTACAATGCTACCCTGTCGATTCACCAGCTCGTCGAAAACTCGGACGAGACGTTCTGTATCGACAACGAGGCGCTGTACGATATTTGCAGACGTACGCTTAAGCAGGCTCACCCCTCGTACGGACACTTGAACCACCTTGTGTCGAGAGTCATGTCCGGCCTGACGACTGGTTTCCGCTTCCCCGGCCAGCTCAACGCCGATCTCCGCAAGTTGGCCGTCAACCTCGTGCCCTTCCCGAGATTGCACTTCTTCACCGTCGGATTCGCGCCCCTCACCTCTTCCGCGTCCTTCTCGAACCTTGGCGTCGCCGAGCTCACCCAGCAAATGTTCGACCCCAAGAACGTCATGTTGGCGTCCGACTTCAGAGACGGACGCTTCTTGACTTGCTCCACCATGTTGTAAGTTGCGCTCTCGTGCCCCCGTTTCTCGAGCTACGTCTAACCCCCTCAACAGCCGCGGAAAGGTGTCCATGAAGCAGGTCGAAGACCAAATTCACGCCATCAAGACCAAGAACTCCACCAACTTTGTTGAGTGGATTCCCAACAACATACAAACTGCCCACTGCTCCGTCCCGCCCAAGGGTCTCGACGTCTCGTCCACGTTCATCGGCAACTCCACTGCGATTCAGAACAGTTTCCGCAGAGTTGGCGAGCAGTTCAGCGTCATGTTCCGCAGAAAGGCCTTCTTGCACTGGTACACTGGCGAGGGCATGGACGAGATGGAGTTCACAGAGGCCGAGTCCAACATGAACGACTTGGTGTCCGAGTACCAGCAGTACCAGGACGCGGGCATGGATGACGAGTATGCCGAGGAGTACGAGGATGAGGTTCCCGCCGAGGAGGAGTAGAGAGTTGCGGTGTCGTCATGGCAAGGTCATAATCACGTTGCCGATTATAGTTCCAATTGGATCCAGTCACTGAATGCTATTATCATTTAGCGCCACGATTCCCCTTCAAAGACATTAGACTACTAATTATACATGCAATTGTGTTTATGTGTATGCACAGTACGTACAATTTGTAGTGTTCATCAGGAATTGTGAGCCAATTTTCAACATATCATTGAGAATACCTAAGCAATGTAGACTCGGTAGATGCCGCCGTCTAACCCGTCAAACTCTTCAGGCCTTAAACTCTCCCTTCTTCATTCGGGGCCTGGACTAGGAATCAAGAAGTCCTCTTCTGTCACCTCACTTCGGATGTTTTTCTCGAAGGCCTCAACTGTGTCTCCCGGCATTTGAGATTCCCAGAGCGCCGTAATGCCCAATTTCTGTGCTATAATATGAAGGGCTTTCCTAACCGCTTCCACTGGGAACCTCAGATAAATACGCATCATCCCACCCGGAAGTGTCGGATCCCCATCAATCACCATGCTTCGCAAATGTGAAAAGTGACGCCATAGCGGCCCATCTCCCTCCCCGATCCTGCGCCATTCCTTTTCCATCCATGAAAGGAAGTCAAGCCGTGTAAAATCTACTCGTACTTCTTCCGTCACAACTTGCCGAGTTGCAAGATCGATCTCAGACTCGAATTCAAGGTAGCCTCCTGTAACCTTTTGTCCACGTCTCGCGCAAACCTCGTTCTGTTGCAACCGTTCGAAACTTTCATGTCCCATGAAGATTGGTAAGACGTGGCCTACTTTCGTGTCCTTGTTCCCGGGGAAAACCACATATTACAGCTGAGAAATGCTACGAGCGATATGGTATCTATTTTCAAGCGGTGTCCTTACTCCTTCATCAACGCAGTATCCAGATTTGTTCAAATTGGCTTGAACCAATAATTTCCTTCGGACTACATATGCGCTTTCCGAGAGGTCCGTGAGACATTGGGTGTTTGTCAAGTAACTGTCCATGTAATAGGGAAAGTTCTCAGAACAGAAAGATAAGTACGACAAACAAGTCACCAGTCGGGGCCTTTCATTCCCTTTTTTCTTAGAATCAAGAAGACGAGCCGGTCAAACTTGGAACTGCCAGAACATAATTCAGGATCCTGGGCGAAAAGCTCGTCATCATGCTTTAGCAACCTATCGAGCGGGTGCTGGTTTCCAACTAAGAACGAGTGTCCTGGTACAGAGTGGATTGTATACAAGGTCAGGCCGTCAAGGAATTCTTCCCGGGCTTCCACGATAGTCGAGCCGACGGATGCTGGCCCTGTCAGCCAAAGTGAGATGGATCCCGTAATTATTGGTATCGACGGTGATGTCTCGGTGCCAAGGATGTATGTGGCAAAGTTTAGTCCCAGTAGATGACATAGCATTCTTCAGTCGATTCAATCGTTTTTTCGGAGGAGTATTTGCGGATTCGGTACACTGGGCGAAATTCATTCCTCTGTTCCGAAAAGAGTCATACTCTCCAGCTTTGATATAATCAAATTGCTTGATCGTTTCGTGGTCGTGTTTGCCCGATTACAATGGGTAAGTATTCTCCAGTTCGGGTGGCTCAATAAATAACTTTTCCCAAGACTTTTGCGTGTCCCAAGCAGGAAGTCAAGATGGATTTAGCTGAGCAGTATGGCCTTGCGCCGCGTAGATCTAGCCTATTTTGGTCACTTGCGTAGCTCTCTCGTCTGTACTATTCTGGTCGATGCAGATCGCGTCGACCCAAATCAGCTTCAAGCCACGAGATGGTCGTAAATATTTGAGCATGTCGCAACAGTTTCTGGTTTGAAGGATGATGTCCCAGTGGCCGCCCACGTAGATTGGATGACAACTATGTTCACAAGTTAGTGAATATTGAGCTCCATCGAGCCATAACGGGTGCTTATCTACCATTCGGAGTTGCCATTCTCATCGCCCCATGTGTACGAGATGGCATCATAGTCAGGGAAGTGCGTGTCCTTGTATGACTCCAAGCCCACATGTATGGGATACAATGGACCTTTGTCCCCGGCAGCGTGGAGAACAGCAAGACGGAATTCATCCGATAAAAGCGCAGTAATGATGCCCCGATTCGCATGAGCCGAATCAGAAGTCGAAATTGTAGCCGACCGAGCTCCTTGATCAACCTTGCTCTTATCACCTGGCGAATGGGTTGCGTTTTCCACAGAGGTGAACGTGACTATAGGTGGCCAACTAAGGTTGAGACTCCCATATACTTCGCTTTTTGGTATAGAAAGTACAGGGCCAGGCCGATCTGCCGTCTTGAGTCGAGCGTGAGCTGTGGCTTAACATTTCTCGCATCGAGGGATTTGATCGTCTCCGACTTGAATGATAGGTGACGCGCACCAGTCCGCATGCCGGCGGCTCATGTCAATGGCAGTGGCACCGACTTCCCCGCGGATGAGGTGAATTGATGATGATGAAGTGACGAGGACTGCCGTACTCTGACTTGGGAATGATGGCTTTGATTGATTTGAATCACGGTTTGTGGACTTTCTGCTTTGAGGGCGCAGGTTCTACAAAAGATATGGAGGACGAACATCGCGGTGCAAGATTGAGGCGGCTGCTCAACCCGTCCTGCTCCTCATCTAAGGTACTTCATGGAAAAATGGATCAGGCCTGCCTCCGCGGGTACAAAGCCAGTAGAACTTAGACATTATGGCAGCATGCGTTGGCGAGGCCTTCTCCTGCGTCAATAAATCCAGCCACTCACAACCGGGCATGCAGGTTCTACCCGCTCTTCTAGCATCAGCTTGAAAGTCGTGATGGCAACCTGAGCGGGTGACCATCGCGAGGTGCGTTTCTTTTCACATTCTGCTTCTGAGACATGAATGGTAGATACATATACATGAATGAGGGTAGATGCTTAAGGTTGAACGCATATTCAAACTGTTACCGTTACTGTTACTGAACAGGAAAAAGAGTGGATAGATACATATTGATAATTCTGACCCCGGCTATCATCCAATTCGCCAGCATGGCCAAGTGGTAAGGCATCGCACTTGTAATGCGGGGATCCTGTGTTCGATCCACAGTGTTGGCACCAACGTTACGTTTTGCATTTTTGATCTACGGTATTATGGGCATCAAGTGCAGGTTGCTGTTTTTGAAGCAGAATGTGTTCGAATGTCGTCGTTGGCGAATCTGTCTTCACTTTGTCTTCAAGGTTATGCACAGACCGAGTGGTTGGGGAAATATTGCGACACACTTTCTAGCCGTGGGGTCACAGCACATGCCCAACTGTAGTGAACACAGTGATGAGTTGCCATTACCGCTCGAAACAGGCACCGGCGAGTAATTTATGGTCACGATGTATCGATTCGATGAGCGAAAGAAGTGTTAACATTAAATAGCAATCCTATGGGAAGTGTGCTCATCCGTTTTGAAAGACCCCATTTTCCCAGACCCATTCCTGATATCCGTACCTTTCCCAACGCCAAAGCGGCCGTTAATCATCACTTTTTGATGATACATAGTACATATATGGTTTGCACACAACTGACCCAATTTAGTTGTGGGCATGTGTGTGAATGCCATCCTCCCGCTTGGTGACTGCGTACGTCTTCCCATTGGGGGCATCTACCTCGAGATCACCCCTGGCCCGGATCGGCGACATTTCATATAAACGCTTCGCGACGACGAAGCTACCGGCAGCCCAGATCCACACGAGAACACCAATCGAGCAGGTAAAGAAGAGGATCGGGACGAGGACGAGGAGTGCAATGCCGATCCAGAAGAGGGAGAAAACGACAGCAGCACCGAGAGCAAAGGCGATGGTTGAGGCGGAGAAGGACACGAAGACGAGGATTGGGAGGAAGGAGAAGATGAATTGGCAAAGAATAAAAGCCTGTAATGAATTCGTTAGCAAAAAAGATGTCCGACATTAGGGAGGCGAGTATCATTGGGGGTCGCATACAAAGAGGAATGGCTGCTCCTGGGCAAAGTTGTAGGCATTGCCGTACGCTCTTTGTCTGGTGTCGGAGCTGACGACCCGATTGATCTGTCGCTGGCCGTAGGCATAGACGCCAGCAGCGTTCTCCTTGGCCGAGCCCTTGATGTCGTTGTAGTCGCTGTGCGATGCCATGGTGGGCAATTGCTCTAGGGATTTGTGGTAGAGGACGGATGACGTTCGTTGATCGTAAATGGGCGTCAGGGGTGTTGAAGATGGAGGGATAGCCGATCGTGACTCCGGAGGAGGTTCGTCGGGGCAGCCTCCTTTTTCTTCAATCTGCAGTTTGACGCCTCCTCTTAGCTTCCCAGGGATGGACGGGAGGCTGCAATTCGAGAGGGGTCGGTCGAATGATTGGGGTGGGCGCTCGCAGGGAGACACGGGAGAGACACTGAGGCAGCTCAACGATTACGCGACGGAATACTTGGTACAAGTGAGGTAGCTCGGGAACGGCAAGCGGTAGGCCCGTGAGTGTGACGGACGAGTGACGGAGGCACTTGAGTCTGGATGGATGCAAGAAGCTAAGAGGCTACAGCCAGCGATGGACAATTGGATTTGCAGCTGATGCTGACATTGACACTTCTGACGTCGTCTCTCTGTGGCATTTGACAGAGAAGCGAGCGGGAGGAAAGGTGAAGGTACAAAAAGCTCCTGGCTGACCTCACCACCCTCAGGAAAGGACGGCAAGTCGCGTTCCGCCGGGGCGCGTCATGCAGGTCGTAATTTAGCACTGCGTGCCTGCGTTCAGCTGGTCCCTGGGCTCTGGAGAAGTACCTGCCCCGCAGAGGGAGGAGGAGGAAAATGGTGCGCAAGCCACACATCGCAGCATCAGCCATATCTACCCTGATGGATGAAGCTGTTCGGTACGTTCTCACTGCTCCCCCCCCTGGGGAAGAAGGAGCTTGGGCCACCCATCGCGAAAGTACCTGTGCGCAGATCTGCACGAAACGGAAGGACCTTTCTCTCCGTCCGTTCTTTGCCGTTTCGAAAGTCATGGTCACGTGCTGTTTCGGCCGGTACGGAACAGCGGGGCAACTGCCCAGCCAGAGGGCCACCTGCCAGCAGTTCTAATTTCCAGGAGAGCAGGAGCCAGGAGCAACTCGGGAAGGTTGCCGGTCTCCAAGTCCCTGCTCGACAGCCTCGACTCTCGCGACCTTTTCATCTGTGACATCTGCAAGGTTTCTAATCTGTCAAGAAAATCTGTTAGGCTGTCAACTCCATCATTCTTCTATTTTAAGCCCCGCCCTCGCATTATCTTGATTGCATCTGTGATATTCGTCATCCACGCACTCCAGACCAGATCCCATCAACCGTGTTGCGCATCTGCGAGTGCATGGGTCCCGGTCCATTAGCCGCACCGTGTAGGGCCCTGGGCCGCGGGACTCTCTCACACTTGGAACTGGGCTGGCAGTTGGCGTTGGTTTAGTTGCGTCCTGCAGCCCGGCAGTGTGAAAAGCGGCGCCACCGAGCTGGGGATCAGACAATAGTCCATCTTCGGACTGCATCTCTTTTGTCCAAGCGTCAAAACAGCCTTTGAGACATCTCATCACAGTCCCCGGGAACATAGGAGGAAGAGAGGAAGAAAGGATCAAACTCTTCTTACTTATCAATTAAACGGTAACTCCCCGGCGGTGCTCGTCATTCTGAAAGGTGTACGAATACTACGTACTCGTACTCCATCCGTATGGAGACCGAGTCAAATGCCATGAACGGCGCGCCGGAAAGGAAAGGGTCCACCACCTCGCTCAAGGACGAAGTGACGGCTCTGGAGAACGGCGCCGAACGGTCAAAGATGGGCAACGCGATCCGCGGAACACGCATAGGTCACAAGAAGTCGAGAAATGGGTGTCAGCAGTGCAAGAAACGGCGTGTCAAGGTCAGTTCAGTTCCCTATAGTAAGGGCTCTGTTCTCTGCAGCAAGCCACGCCAAGCCATCCTCTTATGGAGACTGGGGACTGGTGAGGTTCATAGTGACTTCAATCGGTAACTAACAAACATCCAGTGTGATGAGAGTCGGCCATGTCGCAATTGTGTACGGCACGATGTCAAGTGCAGCCTTGTCCTGACGCCATTCGCACCTCAGCTTCCTGCCGTGACCGAGTCGCCAAAACCAACTCAAGATACCGCGAGTACAGCAACACCAGGTAGTATCGGGGACGCCTCGACGACCAGTCGCCCGGCCAGCCGCCGCGAGAGACCATCGCCTCAATTGTCTTCCTTGAAAGACAAAGTCGCCGCCATCCAGGGGCTGTTGTCAGAGTTTACGGCTGAAGTAGATGCCCTCAACCAAAACGGTCATGATAACTACTCCAGCCCGGCCAATGGCTCAAGTCATGGAGACTCGGGAGACTCTCAGAGTATTTCACGAGCTGACTGGCTCACCGACATGCAACTCGTCCATCACTTTACCTCCAACACAGCTCATACTCTTTCTGAGAATCCAGACTTTGTACATTTGTGGACTACGACTGTTCCTCAAATTGCCTTCGCCAACGTAAGAATTCCCCTATATCCATCTTTACACTCCCACTAAGTCATTCAGGACTTCCTTCTCCACGGCATCCTCGCCGTCTCAGCTATACACAGAGCGCACATCAATCCCGAGAAAAGGGACGAGTATGCCAACTTATCAGCACGCCATCAGAACATCGCTCTGAGCCAATTCTCGCCAGGACTGAGCGAGATTGGCGAGAACAACGCAGACGCCTACGTACTCCACGCAATATGCATCTTCCTGCTCAACACCTACTCTATCGCGAATCCCCACGGGCCCATCACATCTAAGGACGTCGCCCAGTCCTTCATCCTACTACAAGGTCGGTGCTTCGCCCATCTCACGTCTCTGCCCATGCTGATCCATTGCAGGCATCAAGAGCATTCTCACCCTCCCCTTTGCCCACCGATACATCTCCAACGGCCCATTGGCCCGCTGGCTCTACCAAGGCGGCGTCGAGCCCGCCGTCGGAGGCAACTTTGCCTCGAAAATCGACGATCTCCTCACTCTCACGCGAAGCATGGCCCCTTCAGACGATACAACAACCTGCCAATCCGCGCTCGAGGGTCTCAAAATCACCTTCGCCGCAGTGTCCGCTCCGCAGCATAGGTCCGGTCTCGTCTGGCGCTGGGCTGTCTCCCTCCCCCAGCCATTCCTCGAGCTGATGATCCAGAACCACCCTATGGCCCTCGTCATACTCATGCACTACGCGGCATTGGTGCACGCATTTGAGCGGAATATGTGGTACCTCGTCGGCTGGGGCAATAATGTGGCATCGGCTTTAGACCAGGCTATCCAGGAACCATGGAGGGAGTGGATCCAGTGGCCTCTGAGGTGTATTCGAGAGGGTGTTGATATTCGGCAGGTTGAGCCGTTCAAGCCGGTTCCGATTGAGAGCGTCCCGAGGACGCAGCCTCCCACTGCTGCCAATTTCAAGCTGGACCTTTTCAGGTTGGGCGAGCCACCAGCATGACGCGCTCGAGGATTCGATTCAGATTAGACTTCTCCGGGAGATTGATCAGTCTATCGGAATGGTACGAACCGATTCTCTGAGAAAAAAGCGGTCCACTCGCAGGAGGCCCCTTTCAGAGACTGTATCTGCAAACCATCACCCAATGACGCAGCGTGAGTATTGGCAATGCAACTTCTCCACGCTGGCTCAAGTTGGGCAGGAATACGCTTCGGTCGCCTGTACAGCACAGGCACACGCCGAGCTTCGGCTGTGGCCCAGCTGTGTTCCGGCAAGAATGATGTGGCCGCCTGGGTGTCCGCGAGATAAGATGGCCTGGTTCGGACTGAGAGGTCGACCTGGTCAGAGTACCAGCTGCATATGCGGCACCACGCAGTAAAGGATTCGTTGATTCATATAATGGGCCATTTACAGTCATCGAGCGATGCAACGCGCAACGCTCGAGGCGCCAAAGAATTCATCAGTATGGTGGCATTGTATAGAGGGAGGTATAGAGGGAGGTATAGAGGGAGCCTGGAAAGCATGGGCAACCTAGGGCAGCATATCGCCAGCAAGAGTGAGCTGGGCAAATGAGGAAACATACATCAACCGTGTGGACCTACAAAAACTGTGTCAACGGAAGTATCATCTGGCAGTACGTACATATGACACCAATTAAGATATTGGGCTCGGCCCATCAATTCACATCCATCAACTTTATATGCAGGATTAAATTACGCCATCAATGGGCCCCATACGCAACGGCATGTCCCATATTCATGTTGAGGACCTTTGCGACTGCCTCTGACTTGGTTCTTGGTGTGTTAGTACCGGAAGATCAGGAATGGGGTGGGATGCCACCGCGGCGCAGCAACAACGCAAAAAGTGCTAAAGATGAGTTCAATTGAGTAGCAACTTAAAACCCATGCGAAAGAAGGCCAAAAGTAAAAAGTAATTGTCCCTAGCAAGGCTCGAACTTGCGACCTTTGGATAACCCCTAGATGATCTAGAGTCATATGTATTTGATATGAGACCAACGCTCTACCGACTGAGCCATAGAGACTGATTGATGGAGAGCCGAGAGCAGCTAGGGCTTTAGATAGGTATCGTTGTGGAGTCAGCGTGCAGCCTCTGCGCCATCCCGCGCCCCCCCACAGCCCCCGCGCCCCACCTCGCTCTTCCGCCGCGTTTCGGCCTCCCGCCGTTAACTTCGGCCACCTCGAATCGCCGCGAGGACTTGAAAGTTCCACCGAACCGCGCACCTCTCGTCTTACCATTGCCAGAAACTCGACCAATGTAGAATAAGACCATCTTGGCTCTCTTAGCCAAGCTTCCCATCGAGACCTAATTATCAAGCAGTTTCCCAAGACCGCGAGGACACTTGCGCGTTCTGACAGTAACACACCATTAGACGCTGCCAAACTCTCCGTCTCACTCTTGCTGCGCCTCCACTATGTTTTGGTTCTCTTTCTGCCGAGATGGTGTGAGCTGTAGTAAGGCACCGCATTCCATCTCATCTAGAGTCCATCTCTGAGAGGCTTGAGGGGCTGGACTGGTAGAACCAGTCACATGAAACGAATTACACGAACCCAAGCTTTCTTCCTCCTTGGTAACTATACTGCGTGAGAAGTAGTCTTGGATATGAGATTATTAATGACCCCGCGTCCTTATCCTGCCCTTCACAATGCCGATCTGTGGCTTGCTATGTTCTCTTCGACTACGCATCCTATCCGTCTTGTCCTCCCTTCACTCCGTGCCCAAGTTCCTCCGCCTCCGAGTGATCCCTATCCTGGCCTTAACCTACCTACACTTCTTGCCCGTAGACATCTCTCGCCCAGCCGGACGCCCAGACGCCAAGAAGCATGAACCATCACCCAAGCACTCACCACCTCCTCTTCCAACGGACAAACTCCCATTGGCCCGTCGGTCTCATTCTCCCCTCTACTCACCACCACCCCTGGTCACCGTCTCACCTCTCGCCGTCTTGGAACCCTTCCTCGCGAGGCGAGACCTCTTTCTCGGCCCCTCCCCTTTGCGCCCATCACACTATTCTCGCCGGCAGACTTGGCGAGAGCTCAGAGCTACGCGAGAATGCAGTGCCATCCCGGCTTCCGACCTGGAGGTTGTTGGTCCGGTTGAGGGGCGATCCCTGACGACGCCTCCTGCTCGTCCACGCCTCAAGTGAGGTGTGTTGATGAGACGAAGAATGTATATATCATGCTCACGAGCACCGTCAAGTTGAGACTGTTTTCTATTCTCTATCAAACACAGCAGGCAAGCAAACACTTGTAGTAGATCCGAGCTTGCAGAACAATACCCAGCACACCCAATATCACGATATCTCAACATCGACTTACACCACCACCCACCAACACCATCATGACGCTCGCCACAGAGTCCAAGCCCTCCCAGGCTCCCTCCCAAACCCACGAAGCCGAAGCGGACACCCACTCCCTCCACTCAACCCCCTCCTCCTCCTCCTCGGCCCGCTCAACAACCTCCCGCCGCCTCTCCCTAACCCGCACCCTCTCCTCCCTCCACCGAACCCGCACCAACAGCACCACGGCCACCGAAAGGGCTCCTCCCGCCGTAAAACCCCCCAACAAGGGCTTCGGCGCAAACCTCCACAAGATAACAACAACAGCCGGCATCCCCTTCAACAAAGCCGCAAACCTCGTCGGCGCAGAAGGCTGGTTCCCGCAAACCATGCCCCGCGAGTGCGCAAAAGCAGCACGCATCCTCCACGCCTTCACGGACCTCGGCCCCGAACCCCCCAAGGCCCAGGGTCCCCTCCACCCGCTCGGCATCACCCGCCGCTCCATGGTCACCATCCCCCACCAGGTCCTCGCCCACTGCGCCGGCCTCGCCATCTTCAACACCCTCCGCGCGGGGGCGTACATGGGCTCCCTCGCCGCCGGCTCCGGTATCGTCGTCGCGCGCAGACCGGACGGGACGTGGTCCCCCCCTTCGTCGTTTGTCGTGTCCACCCTCGGCGCGGGCTTCATGTTCGGCCTCGACATATACGACTGCGTCCTCGTCCTCAACACCGCAGCCCAAGTCGCAGCCTTCACACACCCGCGCGTGTCTCTCGGCACAGAAGCCTCTGTGGCAATCGGGCCCGTCGGCACAGGCGGCGCAGTGGAAGCCGCGGTGTCAAAGACGGCGAGGCCAATGTACAGCTACATGAAGTCCCGCGGCCTCTGGGCGGGCGTGCAGATCGACGGGACAATTATCCTCGCGAGACAAGACTGCAACGGCGTGGCCTACGCGGACCGCCGCATCTCGGCCAAGAAGATTTTGCAGACGCAGGCCGAGTGGCCCGAGGGGTCGATGCCGCTTTGGCAGACACTAATGGCGCTGGAGGGGCGGTATACGATGGATCCTGCTATTGCGAGGGAGGTGGCGATGATCGGGCCGCCGGGGGATGCTACACCGCCGCCGCCGATGGAGGATGATGTGCCTGCGCCGGCGTATACGCCTTCCATTGCGTCGCAGTTGAATTTGAACACTTATCGTGGTGGGGAGGAGGGGATCACGAACGCGCCCAAGGATGTCGAAGAGGAGCCTGTCTTGGATGAAAAGGAGAGGCTTAGGCGGGCGGGGTACTAAGCTGTGATTTGCAGTTTTGTACCTCATAACGGTTTGTCTTTGTAACAGACGTCTCTAACGAATGCGCCTTGGCTTGAACGATCTATCTTAGATTGAGCATCATTTCTTTTACATTTGGGATTACGGATTATGGCGCGCAACATTAGACTGTCACAATAATTTCCTATAGCACGATATCAAGACAAAATGAATTCCCTTAAAGTTCTCATTTACAAACTTCCCCTCAACAACCCTAAATTCAGCGGGGAATCGAATTAGAATATGCTTCCGGTACCTCGCCTCATCGGCCAGGAACTTCCTTGACACCCGCCAGCCGGACACGTCAGGGATGCTGTCCCTTCGGAGTAGAGGCTGTGAAGTCTAGACCTCACCTCACTCAATGCAAAAAAGAGCCTGGCCGAGGCTGTCAAGCTGCACAATCACACCTTGGGTTCAGAGTGACATTGAGAAAATTCCTCTGGACATCACGCTTTCGCTGACATTCAGATTGCCACTCTGTGAGCTGGCGGTCAATTTCACCGTCGAGACCCTGGCACACTTCCGTTAGTATGCGGGGAGATATTGGCGTCTTACTAAGGGCCTCTGTTCGACAAAACCGCTTCATATCGGTAGATGGCATTTCGTCTAGGTCGAATTAGGGTTGTTGTTCGATGCTTAAAATATGTAGTTCGCCTGGGAGTCGAGAAGTCGTCGTTGGGCAAGGAGATTAAACACTTTCTAATTACCGGTTGTTGCTTCACTGCATGTCACTTGGTCATCATTTCACGCTGCAACATTATCAACCCATGTCATGTCGTTAATCAATGCCAAGTCAACGTCAAGTAACGTCAAGGCATGCCTTGCCATTATCTCTATCGTAGTCCCGTCTAGCCTTAGTCCCGTACCCTCGCCATACAAACTACAAGTACAAGCCCTCAGGCTCACTCTCCTGCTTGGTGCGAAGTACTCTCTCTCTGGCCGACCGGAAGTCTGCCATCTGGACGCGCATACGGCGTTCACGGAGAGCCAAGAGACCAGCCTCTGAGCAAATGGCCTTGATGTCGGCACCAGAAAGGTCGTCCTTTTGCGAGATGAACTCCTCCAGGTCGACATCGTCGTTGAGCGACATCTTGGATGTGTGAAGCGTAAAGATCTTGCGCTTGGTGTTCTGATCGGGGTTCTCAAAGAGAATCTTTCTGTCGATACGTCCGGGACGAATCAGGGCAGGGTCGAGAGTCTCGATCTTGTTGGTGGCCATGATGACCTTGACGTCACCGCGGTCGTCGAAACCGTCAAGCTGGTTGAGAAGTTCCAGCATGGTTCTCTGGACTTCGCGCTCACCACCAGACGTCGAGTCGTAACGCTTCGTGCCGATGGCATCGATTTCATCAATGAAGACAATCGAGGGAGCATTCTCGCCAGCAACCTAAACTTGTCAGTGACCATCGCATTGGCAAAAACAATCAAGACAAACGTACCTGGAACAACTGGCGGACAAGACGGGGACCGTCTCCGAGGTACTTCTGAATAAGTTCACTTCCCACTATACGCAGGAAAGTGGCAGACGTCTGGTTGGCGACAGCCTTGGCGAGCAGCGTCTTTCCGGTACCGGGAGCACCGTAGAGAATGACACCTTTCGGCGGCTTGATACCCATCTCCTCGTACAGCTCCGGATGCAGCAGAGGAAGCTCGACTGACTCTCTGACTTCCTGGATCTGCTGCTCCAAACCACCAATGTCGGCGTATGACTCCGTCGGAGCCTTGTCCAGCTTCATCACACTGACCAGGGGATCAGCATCGTCGGTCAGAACACCGACAATGCTGACGCTCTTGTGATGGAGAAGGACACTGGCGCCAGGTTCCAGCAAGTCCTTGTCGACGAAGCTCATGATGCTGACATAGTACTCGGGACCAGTCGTGCTACTGACAATCGCGTGGTCATCGTCAATCATCTCCTCCAGCGTGCCGACGCCCATGGGGCTGCCACGCATATCGTCGACACGACCGCGCTCGTCTGCCATGCGGTCGACATCACCCTCGGGGCCAACGGCAGCACCCTCCTTGACGGCCTTGGCCTTGCGAAGGCGCTCTTGGTTCTCGACGTATTCCTCTTCCAGGATCAAGTGATCGTGGATTCGCTGCATTCGTAGTAGGCGGAGTTTGCATCGACTGGTGGGGAAGACGGCGGGAAGCTTCGCAGCGGCGCTGGTGCCGGCCGCCTTTCTCTTCTTGCGACCGACTCTGGTGGTAGGGCGTGGGGGAGGCTCGTACTTGGGCTTCTCCTTCTGCATTGCCAGTCAGTCAGTATTCATCTTCTTCTTTATTGTTTCCAAAGTCGATAAACATACCTTCTTATCCTTCTCGTCCTTTCCATCGCCTCCACCACCCATTCCTGACTGGTTTTGACCCTACGAAGCTGTTAGATTGTGACTGCCACGTTTCGGACAGTGATGCTCACCATCTTGTGCCACGGGGAGCTCCAAGAGCTCAGTGGAAGTGTGCAGACGGCTTTTCTGTGTTGATGAGAAGAAAAACGGGCGATCCTCTGATTCGGGGAGGTGTTGGGGTGTCGTCAATGAGCTTGTGATGATGATGGGTGTAGGTGGGTTCCGGAGATGCAGATGGAAGCGCAGGGGAGCAATGGAAGGCAAGGCTGCTGCTGCTTGCGTAGGTAATCAGTGCGTAGCAACACCGGGAGCCACTGCAGGCGGCAGGAAACGCGACGCTCAGCTTCCCTGGCTCACTTGGGCCGGATGAGGAAAGGGCAATTATACGGTCACGTGCCGTGAATCGAGTGATTACCTAAGACACGATGCTGAGTCAGTCTCCCCAACCAGATGGGACTGGATGGTCTCCTTCCAACCTTTTAGGATTGAAGCCGCCAGGAAATAAAAGTTAAAGAGCAAGACTACAGACCTCGTCTTACCCAGAATCGCATGCCTCTAATTCGGTGTTTTCGAATCCCTTCTGAGAGAAGATGATAACGGGCGGCTTGTTCCACGGGCTTGTTCCTCGGGCTTGTTCCTCGGATTCTAAGCAGTCTTTGCCTTGCTTTCTCGTTCATCTTTACACCAAATAAAGCCCAGCTTAATAACGATCTGAATACTCCTTTGATGAATCTACGAGAGGAGCTCGCCAGCATCTTTCAACACTGATAACCTATACAGAGCCGCCCCCGGCTGGTATGATGTGCTGTATTCCAGGAATAGCTTGTAAGACGTATGGGGGCCATGTAGACGATCCTCAGTTCAGTAGATGAGTAACGGACGCTTTCCTAGCATTTGCGAATATGCTGCTAGTTTCCACGCCATCTTTGCCTCGAATCATGACAGTAAAAGTCAATTCAACCAGTCATGGATTGAAAAAAAGCATACGACGGAAGTTTGGGACTGGCTCTCATGCATTGCTTTTGCTGCTAAACGTTGAAATGAGTGCTCGAATAGTCAATTACACAAAAGCATGATTAAAAAGGCTGACCAAAGACTGGTTAGGAGACACTGACGGTTTGTCATTAATTCTTTTAGAATTGTATCCACTCTTCAAAAATCTAGGGCCTACTCGCTAGCAAAGTTGGGCCAAAGCCCAGCTCCCTGACACAGAGTTTGGCTGATGGCTGTCTGTCACAGCTGTGTAAGTGAAGCCCTGGTGACACCGAGGGCCATGGCGTCTAGTTGGGTTGCCAAGGTCAGCATCAGTTCCTACTTCTCCATATGTACAGATCTTCGCGATAGATACGACTTTCTTTGTATGCAGCAAGCTGTTCATCTGCTTTGACTACCTTGGGTACTCAGAACTCGAGAAATATTGAATGAGAATCGTTGGTGTAACCAGACGGTAAAAGTGACAGGTCCGGTGCTGCTTACCTTGCCTTACCTAAGCTTCGAGGTACGTCTTGTGCTCTTGCACCGTTCCCAACCCCGCCTTCTCCCGCACCTCAGCTCCTCCAGCGGGCCACACAGCTCCCTGGAGGCTGACGGCCCTGACAATCCGAGGGCGCTAAGGTGCTGTAGTGGGCTTGCACGGACCATTCCAGCATCATCTGTCGCCGAAGGGGGGAGGGGCACGTCCACCGGCTCTCCTTCTCCTCTCAGACGAGGCAAGCTGCGACTGAAAGTTGGGTTCCGACACCGAACGGTCTTTTGCCAGCATCACCACCACCAACGCCAACACAACCTTGCCTCGATTTCTTCCCGAGAAACACCAAGTAACGACGCATCACCGACTCGAATCACACAGCTCGAAATTCAACAAGGTGACATACTCTATCAATAACACGTCTCGGATCCTCAGCACCACCTACCCTACTGCTAAGGAATACCCATCGACAACCCCCATCGAATCCGCAACGCATCTGCAACATGTCCACCCCCAAGGAGCGACGCATCACCAAGGAGTTGCATGACATTCGCAATGACAAGGATAACTCTGGAGTATTTGCTCAGCCGCTCGACGAGGCCAACTTGCTGCATCTGAAGGGCTCCTTTCCCGCACCTCCCGATACACCATACGCCGGCGGCTTGTATGAAGTCGACATTAAGATTCCCGACAGCTACCCCTTCAAATCTCCCACCATTAAGTTCATCACCAAGATCTGGCATCCTAATGTCAGCAGTCAAACCGTGAGTCTTTCTCCCATCGCCTCGTTGTGGTTGTTTCGCCATCCTTCACAACATATATGCTCTCCAAGACCACTAGCACCAGAGATGCTAACTGGAATAGGGTGCCATCTGTCTCGACACACTGGGCAGTGGCTGGTCTCCCGTGCAGACGATAAAGACGGCGCTGCTTTCCCTCCGCATGCTGCTCGAGTTCCCGAATCCCAAGGATCCCCAAGACGCAGAGGTGGCCAAGATGATGCTGGAGAACCCCGAGGGGTTTGCGAAAAAGGCACACGAGTGGGCCGTCAAGCACGCTGGTGCACTGTCAAAGGATTTTGACACAACAAAGTACAAGCAAGTTGCTTCCGAAGTAAAGCAAGATGACGCAAACAGGTGTGTTTTCAAGAGTCGGCTGCACGCTGGACGAGTCTACAGCACAGGAAATTTGCATAAAGAAACAAGGCTGACAGGTTTTTAGGTATGCCGGCTACAATAAGGATCTTATTGACCGCTTTGTCGGCATGGGATTCGAGCTCGATGCTGTCGTTGAGGCCTTCACCTTTATTGGAATCGACCGCAATGGTGGCATGGACTATGAGCTGGAGGAGGCGTACCTTGGCGACATCACCGCCCACCTCCTCGGTGAGCAATGATTCGACTACCCGAAGAAATGTCGCTCGACGGAACGGTCGATCGAGGTCGACGGCCACCCGGCTATCACCTCATTCGCTCCGAGGCGATAGGAGTACAAAGTCACGAACACGGTAAATCATGAGACGACAGGCAGCATTGCATCGAGTATGGAGTTGGTCTACTTCTAGAGTTGGGCATTAGTGGAATTCTGGCTTTCGTGGCGAGTGGTTCGTTGGCGATGCGGTAGAGGGAACTCGGAGCAATCCTGGCTTGAAAAGATCAGGATGCCGCCTTCGAGAACTCACTGCTTGCGCGCTCGTATGGACCATTTTGCTTTGACGGCAACGTGTCGCATGTCTGGTATCCAGGCGGGAATAAGGACGGTTGGTTTGAACGGGGCACGGAGTATTTGCCTGCCTGAGCGTTTGGCTCTAGCAGTTCCGCATCGCGGACTTTTGGCGTTTTGGGCACGCGGGACGTTTTTGGTTTCTTCTACTCTTCTTCCATCACTGCTTTCCAGCAGCTTTCTAGCAAAGAGTGTTTTCTGTAAGATACACAGGTAGCCCTAGCTTATGTATGCTTTCTCGCATACCAAGGTCGCATTGGCCTCTTTAGTAAGTAGATTGGCGACTCAAAATCCACATCATCCAACATGAAAGCCGCATCCTTTCCTCCGGATACTGGTCCCCAGTTTTTTTGGGCCGAAGCCGCTTTCCCCTCGGGGTTCGGGGACGGGACCCTTGTTGGTTTTACTCGGGGGTTGTATGTTGTATGGGGAGTCGTACGACGGCAAGGGCCCTACATGCCGAGATGGCGCGTAGCGCAACGAATGAGGTCAGAGGAATGAGATAGCGGGTAGCATTGCATATATCTCGCGGTAATAAAAATATTTATAAAGCTTGGGGAATTGGAGATACAAAACTGGAGATGGAGAGGGATGGGAGAGAGGATCCGCAATGTTTCTCACTTCGTGAAGTCTTGAGGAACTTGTTCAAACTTTCCCATTTCTTCCACTTTCCTCCATATGCTTGCCCTATTGTTCCCTGCCCAACCTCCAGTCTATATCAAGTTATTTGGGGCAACATGTTCAAACACACACACGCACACGCATTTAGCGCAACCCGCGCGATGCAAACGGGGTAGCGCCGTCCGTTATCCTCCGCAACGACACGAAGGGACCATCCCGGTGACTACGCTCTCAACACAAAGATCTCTTCTTTAACATGTTACATACACAGCTGAAGCTTTCCCCTTCAACGTCTGGAAGATATGATGTGGTTCAGGTTGTTTTTTTTTACAAGAGGTCGCGGCGGACGAACTCGTCGTAGAGGGCCTTGCCGAGGCCGGCGGGAGAGGGCTCGACAATGACACCGGCGGACTTGAGCGCGGAGATCTTGGAGTCGGCACCGCCCTTGCCGCCAGAGACGATGGCACCGGCGTGACCCATGCGGCGGCCGGGGGGCGCGGAGATACCGGCGATGAAGGAGACAACGGGCTTGCCGCCGTTGACGGTGTTGTTGGCGCGGAGGAAGTCAGCGGCGTCCTCCTCGGCGGAACCACCAATCTCGCCAATCATGATGATGCCGTCCGTCTCCTCGTCCTTGAGGAAGACGTTGAGGCAGTCGATGAAGTTGGTGCCGCTGAAGGGGTCACCGCCGATACCGACGACGAGGGACTGGCCGAGACCGGCCTGGGTGGTCTGGTTGACGGCCTCGTAGGTGAGGGTACCGGAACGGGAGACGATACCGATGCGGCCGCGCTTGTGGATGAAGCCGGGCATAATGCCGATCTTGCACTGGCCGGGGGCGATGATACCGGGGCAGTTGGGGCCGACGAGGCGGGTCTTGGATTGCGTCTTCAGCATGTTGGTGATGCGGACCATGTCTGGGGGATGGTGAGTATTCGAGCAGCGAGATTGCTTCAAGGTTCAAGCCACTCTTAAGCTTCACTTCAGAGCTTTGAAGCTTTAGAGGAACTTGGAGAGGGCAAAGGGGAGCATACCATGCTGGGGGATACCCTCAGTAATGCAGACGACGAGGGGGATCTCAGCGGCAATGGCCTCCTCGATACCGGCGGCGGCCAGAGGGGGGCTGTTTGAATTCTAGGTCAACATCCTATTCTCCCAGGGATTTTCTTTACGATATTGTAGAGTTAACGTACGGGACGAAGATGGCAGTGGCATCGGCGCCAGTCTCCTTGACGGCCTCGCTGACGTTGCCGAAGACGGGAAGACCGAGGTGCTCCTGGCCAGCCTTCTTGGGGTTCGTTCCACCGACGACCTTGGTGCCTGTACATGTCCATTGATATCAGCCTCGGAGTGTTTCCAAAGTAAGGTTTTTGCGATGCGCGAGAGAGAGAGATATGGATCTCGCAATTGCTTCGGAGTTATTATCGCGTACCGTAGTCGATGGCCTGTTGCGCGTGGAAGCTGTGTCGCAAATTGTTGTTAGCTGAGACTGATCTTCTTTCATGCCTATCAATCTGCGCAGGCGCGGACAAAGTAAATATCGCCAGATATGCCTCTCCCCAAAACACCCAAACAGGGGTGGGAAAACATGTGCTACTGAGGTAGTCGGCCCCTCGGGCATCGGAGGAAGATAACACCACTTACGTTCCCTGCTTGCCAGTGAAGCCCTGGAAAAGCACCTTGGTCTCGGAGTTGATGCGCAGGTTGTCGATGGTCTTGGTGTAAGGGCCAGCTGCCGAGGCGCTGTATGCACGCTTCGCGGCTTGGTTCAGGAGCTTGCCTGCCGGCCGCATCTGTCTCAGGGACTGCATCTTGGGCGATGTGTGTGTATGTGTGTGTTAAAATACGTAGAACAGCGCAGCTTCGAAAGAACCGCGGCGCCAATTAAGGAGAGGAAGTAATGGGATTCGGAGGAGGATCTCGTTGGTGAGAGAGGATGGCAGATGGCGGCTATCGTGGGGGAAGGGAAAAAGAGAAGATAGCTGTGGCTGCAATGCAAATTCACGTCACTTTCCGAAAGAAGGGTCAAACTCGCAGTAGGGGAAGGCCAGCAGCAAAACTTGAACCGAGCTCTTTCGCTTCTTTTGCGAGACAACCGGGTCTGCAGCAGGCGAGCCACGACTCCACGAGGCAAGCACGGGACCCGAACGCCCGGGAAAACCCGTGGCCCATTTCGGCGGTTCGGTGAAGCAGATGATCCGGTCGGACCAATGAAGGCTGCGGCAATCAGCACGGCTCAAAGATGGGAACATTGGGAAGGCACCAAAGGGCACCCTGCCAGCTGTGCCTGCCAACCCCCTCCTGCATTGAGTGGTACGTACGGTACGTACCGACTTGAACATGCAGATTTGACGTGTGGCGTCTCCAAATGGGTGAAGCTGTGGCTGATCTACCCCACCATCCAGCAACTTGCATTTGACGGTTTCCTCCAAAATTTCCAAAGTGATCGGACAGTCAACTCTCCAACCCCTAACGACACTCCGACTTCATGACTCTGACGACTTGACGCTACGGGGGCGAAATCACGGCAAACACGCGACTGACCTCGACTTGAAAATATCCCGCCGTAATAAGACGAACGACCAAAGAGACGACCGCCCACCAAACTCGAACTACCCACATACCCCTCAGGATGGCGACCACCACCGTCACCGTCACCAAGGGGCGGTCCAAGAACGATAACCTCCCACCAGAGAACGAGCGCTTCCTACGATGCTGCGCAGATGTCGCCAACGCCCTCATCGAAGACCACGAGGCTATCAGGGACCCCAAGAACCCGCCAAAGGACCTCAACCTCAATTCTTTGCGCAACAAGTTTTCGAGAAAGCACAAGCTCGCCAATATCCCGCCTCTGACGGCCATTATTGCTGCGATCCCTGAGCATTACAAGAAATACATCTTGCCGAAGCTCATCGCAAAGCCAATCCGTATGCCGTCTCCCTGATTCTCCGCACAAACGGACGCATGCTTACTAGATCGGCTAGGAACATCATCGGGTATCGCTGTAGTGGCCGTAATGTGCAAGCCTCACAGATGTCCGCACATTGCTTACACGGGCAACATTTGCGTATACTGCCCCGGCGGTCCAGACTCCGATTTCGAATACAGCACACAATCCTACACCGGATACGAACCCACATCGATGCGAGCGATTCGCGCACGTTACGATCCTTTTGAGCAGGCCCGCGGACGTGTTGACCAGCTTAAGTCTCTCGGTCACTCAGTCGACAAGGTGGAGTACATCATCATGGGTGGCACATTCATGTCACTCCCGGTACCGTACAGGGAGGACTTTATCGCCCAATTACACAATGCGCTCAGCGGATATCAGACATCAAACGTGGACGAGGCAGTGGAGGCTAGTGAGATGAGCAACATCAAGTGCGTCGGTATCACAATCGAGACGAGACCGGATTACTGTTGGCAGCCGCATTTGACCGATATGTTGCGCTATGGCTGCACGAGGTTGGAGATTGGAGTACAGTCGCTTTACGAAGACGTTGCAAGAGACACGAACCGTGGCCACACCGTTGCCGCCGTCGCCGAGACGTTCTGCCTGGCCAAGGACGCTGGTTTCAAGGTGGTCAGTCACATGATGCCTGATTTGCCTAACGTGGGCATGGAGAGAGATCTGGACCAGTTCCGGGAGTACTTTGAGAGCCCTGCGTTCCGTACGGACGGTCTCAAAATTTACCCGACTCTCGTCATCAGAGGCACTGGCCTCTACGAGCTGTGGCGCACAGGCCGATACCAGAATTACACCCCCAACGGCTTGATCGATCTGGTTGCGCGAATTCTGGCGCTAATCCCGCCATGGACACGTATTTACCGAGTCCAGAGAGATATCCCCATGCCTTTGGTCACGTCGGGCGTAGAGAACGGCAACTTGCGCGAATTGGCATTGGCGAGAATGAAGGATTTTGGTACAACATGTCGAGATGTGCGGACACGCGAGGTCGGTGTCAACGAGGTCAAAAACAAGATTAGGCCGAACCAGATCGAGCTAGTGCGACGAGACTACACAGCCAACGGCGGATGGGAAACGTTCCTTGCATACGAGGACCCGAAGCAGGACATTCTCGTTGCCCTGTTGCGTCTACGAAAGTGCACCGAAAAGTACACGTACCGAGAGGAGCTCGTTGGACAGCCAACGAGTCTGGTCAGAGAGTTGCACGTTTACGGTACCGCAGTGCCGGTACACGCCAGAGACCCGAAGAAGTTCCAGCACCAGGGTTTCGGCACGCTCCTGATGGAAGAGGCAGAGAGGATTGCAAGGGACGAACACGGCAGCGAAAAGATTAGTGTTATTTCTGGTGTAGGTGTGAGAAGCTACTACGCTAAGCTCGGGTACTGGCTCGATGGGCCGTACATGAGCAAATGGCTTGATGGGCGGCCTGGGCCCGATGAGGCTACATGAAGTAAGGAATGGGACGCTCACTGATGGCGAATTGATTCGCCCCGTGGCTTCCTCATAGCCTTTAGCTCCGACGACATGAGGCTTTGCTTTGCGCGCCCGGCACCAGGGACAGACTCAGCATTGTCCTAGGTCTATCAAGAGACGCATTCGCAACGACCGTCGTCTCCTGCTGCATTTTTGATGCCTTTAATCATGTTGGAGGCTCAGAATGGATGCAGGGTAGGATGTGGGCTACCGTGCGCCGAGGGTATGAGGTAGAGGAGGGGAACTGGGTGAAGCTTCGGATACTTCACTTCCCCGCTGCAGCGTCAAGCTTCTCCTCGAATGCGAGAAGGCACTCAAGCACGCCAGGGCCTCCGTTGGTTTCGAGGGCAGACCATTGGTCCTTGGTCATGCGCTTCAGGACGTAGTTAGATACCGTAGAGTGATCGCGCTGATCGGGCCGTCCAATGCCAACTGCTATCCTCGCCCATTTTGACTCTGGGTAATCTGCCTCGCGGAGACAGTTGTTGACGCTCTTGATACCATTGTGGCCTCTGTGACTGCTCTTCCACTTTCTTGTTTTGACGAAGCCCAGGTCCTCTTCCAGGTCGTCGTGGACAAGGATGAGACTCAGGTCTGCTGGGTTCCGGGTGCCGAGGGTTTCCTTCCATGCTTTTGCCAACCATTTCCCGGTTACATTCATGACGGAGGGGCTCTGGATCATTGCGTATTTGGGCCCGATTGAGGCCAGGCAGGAGCTGCCACCGAAGCGGCCTCTATGGAAGGCGGGTTGAGAGGGACCCAGGAGTTTTTGTAGAGAGTTGAGAGCATGGTGACCAGCGGAGTGAAGGGTGTTGTAGTGTGGCTCTGGATTTCCCAGGCTGATGAGTAGAAAACGAGGGGCGCTCATTTTTATTTCTTTTCTTGTCTGTAATGTAATGAGATGAATGAATTCAGAGAGAGTGGTGGTGCTGAGATTTATCATGAGAGGCTATGAAAACCAGGGACTTGTAAGATTATTAAAGGCTGGACTGAACATATCTTCGTCAGCATAAAGAATTTGAGGCCATTCTCCTGGTCTAACAAGGTGTGCATAAAAAGTCGTATTAGTAGCTTGTGTTTGCACAAGGAAGCTTCTGGGCTGAATTGGCCTCATGCACGGCTGCACAAATATTTCCTTACCTAATCACTGACGCTGAGTCACCGGGGAGTGAACAATCGGAAAACGGCACTTGCGCCCACCGCCTTGGCTTTAGCTGCCTTAGGTAAGCACAGCAATACAGGCTGCCTACAGGGCTGAGCCACAGAGCTACCCGGCGCTAAGAGGAGCTAGCACCAACAAGGCCGTGGCGCAGCTCCAAAGCCTCTGTTCGCTGACGTCGGTTTCCGTTTCTGGGCGCTGCCCAGGTGCAGTTGGGTCTCCCCAGCATGTTCAGGTGCTGTGCTCCAGGTGCATTGAGTGATTCGTCCGCGCAATCAAAACCGCATTTCCTTTCTCCCCCTCCACCAGCCAGTGCACCACCCCCCCATCAATTCAACTCCGGACGACGAAACGGCCTTCCTACGAACAACGATACCTGCCGAAACCACCGAGTGATCAGTTCACATACGCTACCCACTCGAGCATTCTAGTGCCTTTGAATTCTTATTCCGAACCTTAGCACCGAGTACTAAGAGGAAACACACAGCAAGACAGCCAAGATGTCGTGGGCAGGTACGACTTGATAGTCTCGGACCCTCCTCGGGCGCAACCTGAGCAAAAGGAAATGGAGGACACCAACAACGAAGGATCTGAACTGATGGTATTTGGCTACAGGATTCAAGAAAAATGTCAACCGCGCGACGACGCAGGTGATGATGAAGACGGGTGAGCCCTCTCTGCCCAACTTACAGTCATGAAATACGAAGAGGTTCTGATCTTGGCAGGCCATGTGGAGAAGACCAACGACCGCGACTACGAGGTGGAAGAGAGGTGGGCTACACCCTATCCCCAAGGCCGAGACGCCCGACGGAACGAAACACAATACTGAGACTTCTTTTGGCAGACGATTCAGAACCATGGAGACGGCTTCCTTGCGGTTGCAGAAGGAGGCAAAGGGTTACTTGGATTCATTGCGAGGTGGGTTTGGTGGTCTACGACTATGCACCCCCCTTTGCCAAGGATGACTGTGGGCTAACTTTGTGCAACAGCCATGACTGCTTCCCAGATGCGCATTGCCGAGACGATAGACGCCTTTTACGGAGACTCTGGCGCGAAGGACGGCGTGAGCAGAAGTTACAAGCAGGCAGTGGAGGACCTTGATGCCGAGACCATTAAGGCGCTGGATGGTCCTTACCAGTATGATCACTGGCGACGACTCGGGTATCAGCATAATGGCTAATATGTCGTTTAGGCAAACCGTTCTCGAGCCCATCTCACGCTTCTGCGCTTATTTCCCAGACGTAAACGAATGTCGGTATAACCCAGGCTACACTCCTATGTCAAATTGCTGACCCTTCCCAGGCATCAAGAAGCGCGGCCACAAGCTCCTCGACTACGATGCGCTACGTGCCAAGGTCAAGAAGCTCGTCGAGAAGCCCGACAAGGACGTGACCAAGCTGCCCCGCGCCGAGAAGGAGATGGAAATGGCAAAGGCCGCCTACGAGCAGCTCAACGAGCAGCTGTCGTCAGAACTTCCCCAGCTCATCGACCTACGCGTGCCGTATCTCGATCCCACCTTCGAGGCCCTCGTCAAGATCCAGCTACGCTTCTGCGCTGAGGCGTACAGTCGTATGGCGCAGGTGCAGCAGTATTTGGACGCGGATACGAGAGAACAGTATGCGCAGGGCCAGCTGGATCAGCGTGTCGAGCAAGTGCTGCAGGAGATTCGCGAGCTCAGCATCAGTGGCACCGTATGAGCGAGACCCTCGTATCTTTTGTTTACTTTCCGCGTCTTAGTCTGGGCGATGGGTTTCACTCAAGAGTCTGCTGGTAATGGTAGGGGAGTTTTTTTTACGCGAGCATGGTCTAGGAAGGGTCAAGGCTTTTGGGGATTGTAATAGAGAAAAAGAAACGCAGCCCCCTAGACTTTGCGAGTCACGACTGGAGGGACTTTGGCAGAATTGCCGAGTCCCATGACGACTTTGCATTCATGTATGAAAAATGACTTTTTTCTTTCTTTCTTAATCAAGGGTATCATTGGTTCAACCGTTACGCTCTCCGGAGCGTTCCCCTTTTCTCCCAAGGACATGTATCGTGCAGTTCGTTCCCCTCCACGCTGTTCTGTCTTCAGCCCCAGCTTCAACACCAACACCAACTTCAACTTCCACTTCAACGTCTCTGAAGGTTCTTCATCTCAGTTCCAAGCAGGCAAATCTTTGCCATTCCCCACACATCAGACGCCTCCGCAATACCCCATCCCCTCACCGAAGACTCTCGCGCCTTGATCCCCGCAGCATAAACCGCGGGCTCCTAACCCTGGAGGCCATTCTGCGCGCCAAACAGGTCGCTCAAGCTCAGCTTCCGGCCAATGGCCTGCATCGCGGGGCCCAGCTCCTCTTCGCCGCCTGGCCCACCGGGGCCGCCGAAACCAGCCACGGCGTTCTGCTCCTGCGCGAGGTGGACGTGTTTCAGCGTCTCGGAGATGAGGGCGGCGTTCATAACGCGCGTGTCCTCCTTGTCTGCGTGGATCCAGATGCCCATGACTTTGTTGGTTCCTTCTGCGGCTTCCTCGCTCGTGCCACGGAGGCGAAAGATGTAAATCTCGTCCATGACTTCAAAGTCGTCCACCTCGCTGAGATCGAGAATCACATTCTCCAGGCCGCGACGGTTCAACACAAAGATGCATGCTCTCGGATTTGGTGCCGCGCCGGGGACGGGGTCCTGCATGCACAGGAAATAGGTCCCCTCGATGCCCGTCTTGTCCCAGCCCGGCAGGGTGGGATTGAAGGTGTAGACGACGGCGTTGGCGGCGATGGAGAGGGTTGAGTTTATGGAGGGGAGGTAGCGGCGGAGGACGGAGAGGTTGAGGTCCGTGTTTGTGCGGTTGAGGAGGGCTGGGTTCGGGTCCGGGACGGGGTGGGAGTCGATGTAGTGCGCCGCGTCGGATTCGTAGTCGGATTGGACGGGGCGGGGGCCGGAGATTGGGTTTCCTTGGGAGGAGTGGCGGGCGTGGCCGCCGCCGCGTCGACGGGGGGTTGATCGGGACATTGTGGTGGTGTTGGTGATGTGTGTGTGTGTGTGTATTTGTGGTGTTGCTGTAGGAATGGGAGCTCAGGGTCGGGTGGGTGTTTGTATGTGGATCGTAAAGTCGATTAGCAAGTCCTTGGGGTCAGAGAGTGTTGTCGGAAAGAAAGTGAGAAGGTATCGTGTAGTTGGAGGTTGTGGTGTTGTCAACTTGTAAGGTGTAAGGTGAGCAAGGTGAAGCTTGGTTGCTTCGGAAGAGGTGCGGATGAGGTCAGTGTGCGAGGTGGATCTCTCCCGCCTTCCATTCAAGCCGCAGGTGCCTTATCGGCTTATCTGAACCTTATCGCGATAGAGCAAGCGAGTCTACCCCGCCAATTCCAGCGCTGTGGCAGTGCAGAAATGCAGAGGGGTCCCCTAGCAAACCCCCTGTCATTCCAACGCAGCGCTGTCAGTGACTGTGAGGTGCGACCCCCCGGGAAAAGATGCACGTCACTGGTCCTGCGACCCAGAAACGAGGCGTCCGACGACGGGAATCTGTGGACGAGAGATCCCAGTGACAATCTTTCCCTTCCCCAGTCTCTTTTCCCTCCCTTTCTCTACTCCATACCTGATACCGGGATTCTTCTGCAACATATTATTGAACAAACTTCTTTAACGACTTCAAGACTGTTCAGATTCTTGTTCATCTTCTTCCCCTCCAGCCTCCTCTCTGCTCCGGCTCGTCCGTACATTTCTAGGGCATCCAAGTTTCATCCAACATCCAGGCCATCCCGCTGACTACTACTTCGGCCCCCTCTCGCGCCTGGTCGACTCCTGCGCATAACTGAAGCCATCCTGGTCCGTGACCTCACTTACGACGACTCGTAGCTACGCCCAAAATACGAACATCATGCGCCGGGCCACGCCGGACTGATCGACGACCAACAACAGACACACCAAAGCAGAGGACCCTGGACCGGCCTCTTGTCTCACCCCTCTTAGCCGCCGCCGACGCCGCCGCCAGCGCCGTCCCCCGACCCCGTCAAATAATACCCCCTTAGACCCCTAGAGCTCCCTTTCTCTGGGACCTCTCGAAACTACCACTCCTGCACGCTCCCTCGCTCGCTTGCATCTCAGCAGCAACCAGCGCATGGCTTCGGCTCCCGCGATGGCGCCCCCCTCCGAGACCATCCCCTCCACGACATCAGACCCCGTCGACCTCTCGTCCACGCCGCAGTCCCTTGCCCGTGCCGTCTACGCTCGTCGGGCAGAGTACGTACGGCCACACCGGATCCGGGTCAAGATCGGAACATGGAACGTGGCTGCGTGTCCTGGCACCGACAAGGACCTGGCGAGCTGGTTCGTTGACGGATATGGTCTCGACACTACGCTCTCGAGGCTCAACATCGCAGATCACGATACGGTAGAGACGGATCCTCCGCCAGCCGCCAAGGACGGAACCAAGGAACCGGCCAAGGATGCGACTGAAGAGCAAGATCCGAATGCCTCGGTGCACTTGGTCGGAGGCGACAAGGTCGGACTGTACGTCTTGGGCTTGCAGGAGATTGTCGACCTGAACATGGCAAGGGACTACATGAACCGCATGGCATCCGATCAAGGACCTATGAAGAAGTGGAAAGAAGCCCTGGAAGAAGCCATGCCGGATGGATACGAGCTCGTTGCCGCAGAGCAAATGTCTGGTCTGTTGCTGCTGGCCTATGCTTCCCCTGAGGTAGCACCTACAGTCAGCAACGTGAGCACAGTCTCTGTCGGAACGGGCCTCTTTGGATACTTGGGGAACAAGGGAGCTGTAACTACGCGACTACTGCTCGGGGAGACAACCCGCATGGTCTTTGTCAACTGCCACCTGGCTAGCGGCGCGGAGCAGACATACCTGGACCGGAGATTGTGGGACGTCGGGCAGATTTTGACAAGGACGCAGTTTGACCCGATCAATCTGGCAGGAGAAAATGAAGCTGAGCCGGAGAAGATTGGCGACGAGGACTTTGCCTTCTGGGTGGGTGACTTGAATTTCCGTGTGGATGGACTGCCCGGTAATGATATCCGGCGCCTGCTTCAACTACACACCCGTGGCGAGTACGACTTGGACAAAAGGGGGCGCAAAGTTATCGCCGGCGAGGAGGTTCTAGTGGTCAAGAGCGCAAAGAAGAGTGACTACACGGATGACGACACCTCAACGATCGAAACGACTCTATCATCAGAGGCTAGTTTTGATGATTCCTCAAGCTCCCTGCCAGATCCCGACGACTTTTTGCCTGACCCAAGTGACGATCCTGCGTCGTTGCAAGCAACCCTGGACTCTCTTCTGCCGCATGACCAGCTAAGGAGGATAATCAAGGAGAAGAAGGCCTTCCACGACGGCTGGCGCGAAGGGCAAATCACTTTCCTGCCCTCGTACAAATACGACGTCGGGACTATTAGTCTCTTTGACTCGAGCGAGAAACAAAGAGCCCCGAGTTGGTGCGATCGTATTTTGTACAGAACAAGAAAGGACAGGGAGGAATATGAGCAAAGGGTCAAGGAGGCCGAGGAGGCAAAGAAGAAGGACGAGGAGATGACAGCGCGGGGTATCGACCATGCGACCGATGATGACGACGTCCTATTCAGCTACGACCCGGATGCGGACGGCGAGGAGGTTCCTACGGGCGAAGCTGGCCTCGACTACGACGAATATGAAGAAGATGATAACGAACCAGAGGAAGTTGTCACCAAGGAAGGATTCACGGACAGAATACAGCTCGATATCTACACTTCACACCAGCGGATCATTTCCTCAGACCACAAGCCTATCATCTCCATCTTCACGCTCGACTACGACGCGGTGGTGCCGGATCTCAAGGCTAAAGTCCATGCCGAAGTTGCAAAGGAGCTGGATCGTGCCGAGAACGAGGGACGGCCTCTCGTCACCGTCATCCTTGACAACCCAGACATGCAAGCCAAGGGTGAGGATGGGGTGGACCTTGGTGAAGCCGTCGACTTTGGAGATGTTGCCTACCGCTGCAAACATACGGCAACGTTGACAATCGCAAACACTGGACGAGTGCCGGCCAAGTTTGCTTTTGTTGAGAAACCCACGATTGAGGAGGATTCCGAGGCTTCGAGCCCACCAGCCTGGCTAAGATCATCATTCAAACGCACTGCCGCTGACGAAAGCGCAGAGGAGTCGCCAGATCTGGGCGACGAGGTCACCTTGGAACCCGGCGAGACGGTCAGTGGTGTTTTGGAGATATACGTTAGCGACATCTCCCATGTCCGAGCCCTCAACGATGGCCGGTCAACTCTTGAGGACATCTTGGTTCTGCGTGTTGAAGACGGCAGAGACCATTTCATTCCAGTCCGCGCCTCGTGGCTTCCGACGTGTTTCGGACGCTCGATAGACGAGCTCATCCGTATTCCCGACGGAGGCATTCGGGCTTTCATGAAGTCGAGGGATGGCAAGAGCTCCGGTTCCATCCCATACGATCTCGACGTCCGCTGCGCTGCTCCTAAGGAGCTCTTCAAGCTTACAGAAGCTGTCGAGGTGATGATGCTCCGCGCCATCGCGGAAGCAAACATGATTGAGGAACATGTCATCCCGGCTGACAAGCCCGGCTGGCCCTTTGACGAGACCGCATGGCTGTTCAAAGACAAAGAGTCCCGTGACAGCCAGATTATCGCTTTAATCGAGGCACTGGACAATGACCAACCCCTTGTCGAAGCGCTTCCCGTTGAAGTCCCATCACTATACCGCCTC